GGTATAATCTTAACATTCCGAAAATAAATAATCCATACGTTCATTCTCTTCGTGGTGATACTGTGTGAATGTTGCGTGTATAATGTACATATATGCATATGTATTTTTTTCTACTGACATGTGCAACATGCAGGAAACAAATATATGCACAATGAAAGCCTGCACACATGCATAGAATATATGCAAGTGCTCTTGTTTAAATATGGATAAGTGTTTATTAAAGAAAGTCGTGAGGTTCAAGTCCGTCCCCGGAGACTGTCTTGTTACAGCAGCTGTCAATGTGACTCTTACTGTCTCACAATAATGGGGGGGGGGTTCTTATGGCTTCATTTAAGCCAGTCTCTCTCTCTCTCTCTCTCTCTCTCTCTCTCTCTCTCTCTCTCTCTCTCTCTCTCTCTCTAATCACACCACACTGATCAACAAGCACTGTAGACAACCACGCCACACTGGTCATCAAGCACTACCTGGAGGGTATTCCGGGGATCAACGCGCCCGCGGCCCGGTCCACGACCAGGCCTCCCAGTGGATCAGGGCCTGATCAACCAGGCTGTTACTGCTAGCCGCACGTAGTCCAATGTACGAACCACAGCCCGGCTGATCCGGCACCGACTCTAGGTATCTGTCCAGCTCCCTCTTGAAGGCAGCCAGGGGCCTATTGGTAATTCCCTTTATGCTTGGTGGGAGGCTGTTGAACAGTCTTGGGCCCCGGAAACTTATGGTGTTTTCTCTAAGTGTACCAATGGCGCCCCTACTTTTAATTGGGGGTATTTTGCATCGCCTGCCCAGTCTTCTACTTTCGTAGAGAGTGATCTCTGTGTGCAGATTTGGGACCATTCCTTCTAGGATTTTCCAAGTGTAGATTATGATATATCTCTCTCCTGCGTTCCAACGAGTACAAGTCAAGTGCTTCCAAGCGTTCCCAGTAGTTAAGGTGCTTGACAAAACTTATACATGCAGTAAAGGATCTCTGTACACTCTCTAGATCTGCGATTTCACCTGCTTTGTATGGAGATGTTAATGTACAGCAGTATTCCAGCCTAGAGAGAACAAGTGACAACCACGCCACGCTGGTCTTAAACACTGTAGACAACCACGCCACAATGCTCAAGCACTGTAGACAACCACGCCATGCTGATCAAGCACTGTAGACAACCACACCACGCTGGTCTTCGACAATGAAGACAACCACGCCACACTGATCAAGCACTGTAGACAACCACACCACGCTGGTCAACAAGCTCTGTAGACAACCACGCCACGCTGGTCAACAAGCACTGTAGACAACCACGCCACGCTGGTCAACAAGCACTGTAGACAACCACACCACACTGGTCCACAAGCACTGTAGACAACCACGCCACGCTGGTCAACAAGCACTGTAGACAACCACACCACACTGGTCAACAAGCACTGTATACAACCACGCCACGCTAGTCAACAAGCACTGTAGACAACCACACCACACTGGTCAACAAGCACTGTAGACAACCACGCCACGCTGGTCAACAAGCACTGTAGACAACCACGCCACGCTGGTCAACAAGCACTGTAGACAACCACACCACACTGGTCCACAAGCACTGTAGACAACCACACCACACTGGTCCACAAGCACTGTAGACAACCACACCACACTGGTCCACAAGCACTGTAGACAACCACACCACACTGGTCCACAATCACTGTAGACAACCACACCACACTGGTCCACAAGCACTGTAGACAACCACACCACACTGGTCAACACGCACTGTAGACAACCACGCCACGCTGGTCAACAAGCACTGTAGACAACCACACCATACTGGTCAACAAGCACTGTAGACAACCACGCCACGCTGGTCAACAAGCACTGTAGACAACCACACCACGCTTGTCAACAAGCACTGTAGACAACCACGCCACGCTGGTCAACACTGTAGACAACCACACCACACTGGTCCACAAGCACTGTAGACCACACCACACTGGTCAAAAAGCACTGTAGACAACCACGCCACGCTGGTCAACAAGCACTGTAGACAACCACGCCACGCTGGTCAACAAGCACTGTAGACAACCACGCCACACTGGTCCACAAGCACTGTAGACCACACCACACTGGTCCACAAGCACTGTAGACCACACCACGCTGGTCAACAAGCACTGTAGACAACCACACCACACTGGTCCACAAGCACTGTAGACAACCACACCACACTGGTCCACAAGCACTGTAGACCACATCACACTGGTCAACAAGCACTGTAGACAACCACGCCACGCTGGTCAACAAGCACTGTAGACAACCACGCCACGCTGGTCAACAAGCACTGTAGACAACCACGCCACACTGGTCCACAAGCACTGTAGACCACACCACACTGGTCCACAAGCACTGTAGACCACACCACGCTGGTCAACAAGCACTGTAGACAACCACGCCACGCTGGTCAACAAGCACTGTAGACAACCACGCCACGCTGGTCAACAAGCACTGTAGACAACCACGCCACACTGGTCCACAAGCACTGTAGACCACACCACGCTGGTCAACAAGCACTGTAGACAACCACACCACACTGGTCCACAAGCACTGTAGACCACACCACGCTGGTCAACAAGCACTGTAGACAACCACGCCACGCTGGTCAACAAGCACTGTAGACAATCACGCCACGCTGGTCAACAAGCACTGTAGACAACCACACCACACTGGTCCACAAGCACTGTAGACCACACCACGCTGGTCAACAAGCACTGGAGACAACCACGCCACGCTGGTCAACAAGCACTGTAGACAACCACGCCACGCTGGTAAACAAGCACTGTAGACAACCACGCCACGCTGGTCAACAAGCACTGTAGACAACCACACCACACTGGTCAACAAGCACTGTAGACAACCACACCACACTGATCAACAAGCACTGTAGACAACCACACCACACTGGTCAACAAGTACTGTAGACAACCACGCCACGCTGGTCAACAAGCACTGTAGACAACCACACCACACTGGTCAACAAGCACTGTAGACAACCACTCTACGCTGGTCAACAAGCACTTTTTTTTTTTTTTATTCGCCGGTATTCTCCCGGCCCGGGTCTTTTCCAAGTAGTGGTGACCCGGCCTTGGCTCCCTATCTCGGGAGTGTCTCGAGACTTAAGTCTCCCATGGGAGGAGGTACAAGTACCCCCTCATCTTTGGGACCAACTGTTCCCAGGCCTAGCCACATTCCCCGCCCTCACGGGGCTCGTAGGGAGAAGCTAGGCCTCTAAACAAGCACTGTAGACAACCACGCCACGCTGGTCTTCAACAAGCACTGTCTCTAGGAGCACCACTGACTGGGTCATAATATGATTAACACCTGCCTCAGGAATATCCCCAAAATGGAACCTAACATGAAGGAACCTATTGGGTAAAACGACGTAATTAATAAAGCAAAACACACACACACACACACACACACACACACACACACACACACACAAGGTACACTTTCCGGCAATGCCTTTCAGGCCAGAATACTGATAAACACCTTACTTCACGAATAACGCCCACTTGAACACAGCCTTGACACCCATCTGCTGGAGGCTGTCGATTGTTGTGCTGGGGGAGAGGAAGCCATGTGTGGTGGTGGTGGTGTAGGTGGTTGATTAAAGGCCTGTCGACTACAGTTTGTAAGTAGTGGCTAGAGTAGTGGAGGTACTGGTTGCTGGTTTGCTTATTAAAGACCTGTCAACTACTGGTGGTGATTGTGGTGAAGGAGAGTGGTGAGTGCCAATGATTATGAGAGAGGAAACGTGAAAGTTATAAACACCTAGTCAATGGAACAAGACCCAATAATAAGTAGGTACCAGATAGGTGCCGTTGCTGTGGACAAGCTCCACGGGTAACTAACAGTATATGTCGACACTACACGCTCCAAAAGTAACGTTTGTGGCTACGACCCCACACACGGGTGTGTATCTTTAATATAACTGATAGATTTGGTTAAGAAATACTGTTATCTGTTAGTGGTTCTGGGGATTATCTTCATTAGGACCAGGTCTCAGACCAGGCCACCTTGGTGGCGAAGGAAGGAATTAATAAGACACACATAGGAAAGTATACTGAATGTAAGAAGTCTGCAAGGTTTGCCTGTCATCTTACGTGTTCATGAGACAAAGGGAAAAACAACAACAGTCCTGCCAGAGTGCAAAACCAAAAAAAAAAAATTACTTTCCCACTCAGTTGGCAGGACGGAAGTACTTCCATGGATGGCCAATGTCTACCAACTTACTAAGGTATATACTCAACGCCACATATCAAGAAATATATATAAATGTGCAAGTTCTAGGGAAACAATTAGAATTTTTTTTTTAGCTCTCTTCACTCCTGAGAACTGATGATGCCGCTCGTGGCGACAAGTTTCCTGTAATAAATATCCTGATCTATACACAGGTGTACTTAACCACCTCCACAATGTAAGATTTTACTCCAGACCGGCCACCACGGGGCTTTACTGACCAATTTCACGAGGTAAGCTCCTTTACGACCAAGTTTTAGAGGTCAACCTGAATCTCCTCCGTAAACAGAGCCATAAAAATGAAAAATGATATCCGCAACACCAGGAATAACTTCCTGGTGTTGCGATCATCATGTAGTACGACGGATAGTGGGTGGACGTAGCAAATTTACCCGGTACAACGCTAAATATTACACTATTATGAAGACAAAGTACTCGTATAATAGAGAGGCAACAACAGTGTTATGGAAATTGACCCGTGTCAATAGTGTGTCCTGTTTCCTGACGAATAAACCACCAGCACCAGGTACTTACCCTTCATGACGAATAAACCACCAGCACCAGGTACTTACCCTTCATGACGAATAAACCACCAGCACCAGGTACTTACCCTTCATGACGAATAAACCACCAGCACCAGGTACTTACCCTTCCTGACGAATAAACCAGCAGCACCAGGTACTTACCCTTCATGACGAATAAACCAGCAGCAGCAGCAGCAGGTACATACCTTTCTTTGCTGCAGTGGAGGGCGTGTGTGGCGGTGATCCGGCTCCGGCAGTGACCTCCTCCACCACCAGTGCCGGCACTGCTGTGTAGTAACTGGTGACCACTCCAGTAGCACTGATGCTTCCACTGGAGTAGATCAAGGAGGGCCTTCGCACCTCCTCCAGTGTGGAGTATATGCCCTCCTCCACGTCCTCCTCCACATCTTCGACGTCCACGGTGGAGTACACATCATCTTCACCATCATCCTGCCATACCAACCATAGCAAGAATTACGGAGGATCGAGCCTTCACCGTTATTTACACAGAATAACCCACAATGTTTTAATGCTTCAAATAATAATAATAATGTGAATAAAGTTTTTCTTTTTCGGGCCACTTTGACTTGGTGGGAAACGGCCGATATGTTAATAATAAAAAAAGTAATGCAAAAAAGTCCCAATATCGTGACTGGAACAAATAACTGTGTGTAGTTTATATATATGATAATTACAACAATTCCGTCTTCATTAATGACTTCTTTACAAGACACATGGACATCTATAAGGATTTACTTCTTGAATAATATCCTCTGCTGTTATTAAGGACTTACTGAAGATAATTGAATGCAAATTAGTCTGCCAAGTTCTGTGATTAGTCACATTAATTATGAAGGTCACTGATCCGGGTCTCGGGGGAAATATTCACGTGTTTTCCTGCGAAAGATTCTCAAGGGGCAGCTGGATCAACTAGTCACTGACACTGACACTAGTCAAGACATTTAACAACGCTGAAGAACACTCAACACTTGGAGTGTCGATATTAGAATGACTTACGTACATTCTGAAGTGCGACATACTAACACATTTTTTCGGGCTAACTAAAGACCTCATCATTCGCCTGAAAATATTTGATCTCTCTCTCTCTCAACTAATTAAGAAGTGGTTATAGTTACAACTTTAATTTTTAAAGTTGTGGACCGGTAAGCCAGCTGAAGGCCTCAATCAGATAACCGAAAGTTCCAGCTGCGAGTCATCGTATGACTAAGACTCGCGTCAGGGAACACTTGTCCTGGTTCCTGACAAATCTAAATACCTAACCTATCTATCTCTCTCTCCACTGTAATATGGTCTATTTCTATAATATTACCAGTATGGTCAGTGTATTGGGTAGGAATGTGGATATAATTCTATGGAGCTACTAACTAGAAAGTCACGTAGATTTTCGCGTGGTTCATTACGGGAAATCAGCATGACGGAAGCCTACTTACAGGGAGGCTTCCGAACCATACCTGTGGCTGGGGTGTTGGCGCTGGTGGTCGGGCGGTGCAGACAAGAGCGGCATCGTAGGCCGTCTCGTAAGCGTCGTCGTATGTGTGATCAGTACGGAGTGGGGAGAGGGAGACGAGGCGGGGGGCGGGGTCACTGCTGCGACGTCTGAACAGCCGCATCCTGAAGTGCTGCTGCTGCTGCTGCTGCTGGACAACGCACAAGTGGAAAATCACTCAAAACACACAACACTCCCCTTAACTATATAAGAGAAGGCGATTGGTAGCAGTAACAGTGACAGTGGTAGTAGTAGTACTGGTGGTTATGGTAGTAGTAATAGTGGGGGTGGGGGTTGTAGTAGTACTGGTGGGGGTAGTAGTAGTAGTACTAGTGGTGGTGGTGGTAGTAGTACAGAGCACTGCGACTGTCTAGGAAGGTGTCTCAGCGCTCTCACCAAATTAAAAATAAGCAAAATAAACACATACATATACACATACGCACATAGATTAACAAACAGTAAAAGGTTAGAACATAACTGGTGACTAGGAGGCAACAAGCACACAATGCAGGTGTAAAAAACTACTGCATCCTATGCGAAACATCGTCTAACAGAGGATTCTCTCTGTATTACATTACGACATGCATACATCAAGATGGCGCTGCGTCGTACACTATTACTTTTGTCACAGTTGAGCCATTCAGTATTTTCTTTTTACAAAACTTACATGTAAATACAAAACCAAAGATTGTATATACAAATTATCCTTAACTCTCTTTTCATAGCATGTATTGGACCTTTCATATAGCGTCACTGCAGCGGGAACTTGGGTGTGTGTGTTCCTCTCTAATGATCTGAAGTCCAGTTCATGAATGTGTCCGGTAATTCACAATAGGGAAAAAATGTACATTATTTTTCATGGCGAAGCGCTAAACCCTTCAAGGTTACAAGGTTCCGGCAACTGGGAGATAATCAGGATAATCAGTTGATTTATTTTAGTCCCTTTTTTTATAAGGACTAAAGTACTGACTGGTAGTTTTCAGTATCCCTAAAGACTCACTAGCCAAGAGTTCAATTCCCACCCGTACCGCGGTTTGTTTGCCAAGGACTAGTTGGTCCTAATGACCTCCAGGAGTCATAGCGCTAAATGGAAAGAATATAATTAGTTACTTGTGCTTTAGCACTTCTCTCTCTTAGGTTCAGTGGAGGACCTACACTTTTGGAGCCCTGAAGCTTAAACTGTTATGGAGGGCCCCTTCGCAGCACCTTCTCATACAGTAGACCCAAAATTTGTAAGCAATACGGACTATAAGTCGCTCTTGGGGCCCCTCTGGGATTAGGCTCCCCGCTTTAGCTTAAGCTTCAAGGAGCCTAATCCCGGGTTCATACTTTTAAGTGGTAAGACATGGATGTGTACACTTGTGAGTGTACACTTGTGTATTTGTGCAAATGTTACTAATGAGTCTTTTGTCAATATATGGAATCAGGCGGCTGACTAAGCTACCTTTATGGGAGTGTATTGACGTTCCATAAGGGTACAGCTTCTCGTAACTTTACTCCTAGTGAATCTTCGTCTGTAATAAAGTTTTGCTATGTGCTAAATGTCTTCTATAATTATCTATTGTATACGTGAGCATATAAACAGGAGACGTGTTTTAATCTACGCACGTGTTCGTGCGTCTGTTTTGACGTCGTATTTTTAAAAGAAAGGTCTAACAACTTCAGGTGGTGTGTCTTGATATACTGACAGTCCTCGCATCAAAATTATTTTCCATCTTCCAGGAATTTAACCCTGACGAATTTAGCACTGCCCTACGAATATAAATATGGCTTAATCCTGAATTCCGTCAGGGTATACTCAGGCATGCACGACTATATTTGCGTAGTTGACTGTGCGTGCAGGTCATGTCTCGAGCAGCATGCATGACTTAGCGAGCGTCAATGTGTACATAAGTACGTTGGAGCAAGCACGAGTGAATAAGAACCCTACACCATGTTTTCTAAAACGTGTGTGTTAGGTGAACGAGGTAGGCAGTTTCGACCGGGTTGGTCACTCAACTGTGATTCACCACTCACTGTACTGGGCGAGTAAGAGACTTGCTCAACAATTTAGTAGCTTTACTGACGAAATTTTTCATCTTCGCGGCATGTTTCTTCAGTCCACGTGAAAAGAGAAGTAACGAGGATGTAGATATGAGGCGATCAGTTTGTGCCTCAGCGTTGAAGAAGAAAGTTTGAAATGGTCCGTCTGAGGCTCAGTCTTGGTGTGTTCAGCTCAGCTTCGACTGGAGCTCAACATGTACCAAGGCTGAGGGACTGATCACTTCATATCAGTATCTCCACCACTTCTGTTCTCTCTTGAATTCGGACTAAAGAAGCCTGCTGAACAGGCGAAACGAATCATTAAAAAATGCCAAACTTCATTATTGTCTCTGTTGTTACCGTTATACACTAATGATGGAAGAATCTAGCTACTACTACTACTAGCGAGTGATATAGGAGACAATGAGGTGTTCGTACACCTCTAGGGGTTAGAATAACAATTATTTCAGTGTCTAAGTGAACTGCGGCTTAAATGACCCTCTTGTGCTCCACAGACCTTAACTACTAACGAATCATCAACCCGTGGCAGTTAGTAGTGTTCCTACAACTTACCTCTCAGTGTGGCCTAGTTCCTGCCTGTGGTGGACGACTTGAACGCCACCACCACCATACTTCTGGCTTTGCCCCCTCTCCTTCACGCAAGAACTCCTGCCATGCCTCGACAGTAACTCAGGAGTGCTGAAACTTCTGCCAGTGCTATGAGACACTGGCGGCAGATGGTGGAAGAAGTTATTCAGATAGCAGGAACTCCTTAGCTGCAACAGTTCTCAGACAGGTTTCAGGTCTTCAAGGTGTGGGAGATAACGGAGGTCTTGGGAACCTCGAGAGATCAAAGGTAGGCCTCAAAACATACAAGACGAGGTGTCGAGGACTTGACATTTGCATGCAGCCTTTCTTGAACCCCTCGATCCCTGGGAAAGACGGCTGTATCTCGGAGACTACTGAGGCCGGTGTTAGTACCTGAAAAAGAAAATGTGAATTTCGCTTAGTCTACACACATTAAATCTTGATTTTTAAATCTTATACCTAGAAGAGGTCTTAGGCGAGTACAGCTATGTAGTTGTACTCGCTCTGTAGTTGTACTCGCTCTGTAGCTGTACTCGCTCTGTAGCTGTACTCGCTATGTAGCTGTACTCGCTATGTAGCTGTACTCGCTATGTAGCTGTACTCGCGCTATGCTGATGAACAATGACCAAAAAGCAAGAAATAGCAGAAAACTTTGTTAAAACCCACACTGGCTTGGAGCTTCAAACACTAAAATAATATAGGCAGAACACCAGCAACCACCGAGACTCAACACTTGACTCCGTACATTATATTTATACATAACCAAGTGTGTTGAGGTAACCGAGGAAAAATATTTGTGCTCATGGCAATATACACAGGAGTACTGCGAATCTCTGAATTAATTAATGATCTTTGGGCTTTCAAGAAAAAATTAACTCAAGCCTAACACAGTAACCACTTCGTCACAGAGTATGCTACCACGTCACCTCTGTAACATAGTTCTATCAAAGTTGATAAGGTGTTTTCTCAAGGTATAAACGATAACCTTGGATGAAAGTGGAAAAAAAACATGTCAACCACTTAAAGGTATCCCTTGGGTATACCTAAAACTTATTAAATTAACAGCAAGACACAGACAGAGATACACAGAATTTTTTCATAGGTAAGCCGTGGTCAGCAGCCTGTTTAAGACATAAACGCCACACAAGTGTTCCCACGCCGCCACTATAACTCCATCACCGGGAAGACAAAGTACGTCAATTATCCTGTTTTCTCAGAGAATAAATATTTTTAAAATACAAATTTCTAAGGTTACCTGGTGCCACTTCCTGAGGTCATCGCTCCCGCGGCCCGGTCTCAGACCAGTCCTGGTGGCTGGTCTGATCGACTAAGCTGAGGTGATGAAAAACGCTTTCACTAGAACAAACCTACGTCATTATTTGTTTGCAGCCACTGTTACCCGTTGTCATTATAGTCTCAGCCAGTCTCTACCTCTTCTAAAACGAAAGTGTAACTCTAACCCTGTGGGTTAGAGAGATTCGAATGTGGCATCTCCAGTGGTTGTTACCAGGCAGCCAGCCTCGTCCTACCTCTGGCAAGGTGTTGTTCACATTGGTTGATCTGTTAGGTTTGAAACCAGTCGGCTGCACAATAGTCATCGAGACTGAATATCACCTGTGTACTGCCAGTCAAAAATACTTTTATCTGTAAATTGGAAATAAAGCCAGTTTTCAGAGTATATACACAGATATGATAGATTAATTAGTCTTAGAAGCTTTCATTGCTCTAAGGGTCATTAAGGCTACACGTCACCTTTTCATCACCAGTTAAGACTGCCACAATCCTTGAAACATAGATTAAACTCTCGGCGTATATACGCTGAGATACACACACACCTCTTATTGTATATATACCCTGTGCTGAGACACACACATTAGCCGGTGTATATACTAGTCGCTCAAGGTGGAAATAATGACCGGGGAAAACTTCTGAAGGATCTTGAACTCAGACAACGAGATTGTTAACTTAATGTTAACGATCTCGTTGTCTGAGTTCATGATCCTTCACTTTCATTTTCCTGGTGATTAATTTAAATGAGGTGAATAAAGGCGTCAAACCTAGGTTCAGCAAAAAAAAAAAAAATCAGTAAGAGGTTTGTCGATGTCTCTGACATGTGAAGATGCAGCGTCACTGACGCAGACTCTCACGCGGGTTCTATCCCCGTCCGTGGTCTTGTTTGGGAAAATACACTTAATATTGTAGGGTATATAGTTTTATTGTACATATACCGTCTCTCTCTCTCTCAGTGTGTGTTGAGTGGTGTGTATAGACAACAGACAACGAGGTGTGTGCATATAGTATATATACGCCGAGAGGGCTGGCTGACTGGCTGGCTGGCTGGCTGGCTGGCTGGCTGGCTGGCTGACTGGATCGCTTTCTCTATGCATATGCAATGAGGGTTTACTCAGATTGCTATTTTAAGGATTAAAGTATTGCCGACTGGTGGTTTAAAGTTGAAAAGCAAGCCTTGACGGCCCTTATAATGCCGACTGTCTTTGAGCCCAACATATGTTCCCCAGGTGATAATCGTGGAGCAGGAACCAGAGTTGTGCTGCCTCGCCTTTACCAAAATACCTTTTGCAATTTCCTCTCTGTAATAAAGTTGGTTAATTACACGACAAATGGTAAAGTAAAAGGACCAAGTGCATAATGTGCTTTATTGTGGCAACGTTTCGCTCTCCAGGAGCTTTATCAAGCATTTACGGTAATAGCTTGATTAAAGTCTGGAGACGCAAACGTGTTTGCCACAATAAATTTTCACATTATGTGGCACATTGTGTCCTTTTACTTTACAATTTCCTCTCTCCCTGTGCTTTTACGAGTGGTAGCAATGCACTTCCAAACTGATATTACCTTATATGTTGCATAGAATAAATGAAAATACGACTAACGAAATCGTAATGACACAACGCTAACGCGTCTGTCTCGAGTTTTATGACTCTGATCGCGGGTTCAATCCCCGCCCGTGGTATGATTTAAAATGAAAACACGCCTGATCCTACATTATATATTATTAAACATTTTAACTCACGTCTAACGAGACAACAAACTGATTTTGCATTGTATAAAAATGATCTGTCATGTGTTCAACTCTCAACCGAAAGGACTCTGGTTCGATTCTTAGGCCGAGAAACCATACGGCCAAAGCACCATATTCATCAAGGGTGTTCAACGGTTGTAGGGAGGCATCGAAGGGACTAGGGAATGAGGGTATGAGGAATGGGAAGCAATCAGATTTGAATCAGGAACTCTTCCCCAGCATCAAGACACCTCCCCTTAAAATGTATCGTTCCCAATATTAAGGATCACACTGCTCACCCCTTTCCTAACATGTCCTCCATTACCAACCCACTTGTGAAGATGCACGCTCCTGGAGACTTTTTTTCCGGGACAACATTTCGCACTGTGTAGCGATACGTTGTCCCAACCCTGCACAGGAATATGGTATGGCTTGTTTCTATTAGAACCATTCCTTCGATGCGACCCACAACATTAGACTGACACCTAAGTGCCTAGTGACTGCTAGGTGAGCCTATGCAATAGGAGGACCCTTCTGACCCATGTGGGAATCGAACATCGGGTCCTATCGATTTTAAGCCGGAGCATCTAGCAATGAACTGGTGACTCCAGCACTGGTCTGGCTGAGGCAACACTTAGACCAACATGTTGACAACAGACCAGTGAAACACAAGAATGACAACACAGTGACAGCGCAGTCATCGGGAGAAGAAGGGACCACGAGGTAAACTGCAGGTATCCTATAGAAACCAGGTGGAACACCATATCCTGAAGATGAAATCAAGTGGAACACACTAACTTGAAGGAGAAAGCAAGTGGAACACTGACCTCGGCCTTCCACACCACAGTCGGTCACTGAAATTGAAGTCGCAACCATACCAGTTAATGTATGTGACGCGGCTTTCCTGCCTGACGAACATATCCGCCATGAGACGTGTACACGCATGACCAGGTGATCTGGATGTATTACGCATCACTGATGGCGTCTCTAAAAAGTCTTTCTTCATTTTTACCCCGTGTGTTCCCTTACACGAGGTTTCCGACTGCAATTTCTTGAGGCTTCGCACGAACCCAAAAACCTACTGTTTTCCTTAGGTTAGGGGACTACAATCTATAAAAAACGTATTTTGTACCATAAATATATATGGAAAACCGGCAATAAGCAGGTAAGCTTCCAAATATATACAATTATTCCTCGTGGTGCGAAAAAAGTGGTACAAACTACATACGGGAAGACCTTGATCCAAATGGCTACCGAGGAGAGGACACGGGTAGCATAAAGAAAGATTCTATCGAGACGTTTCGCTCTGTGTAGAGCTTTATCACGGAGCGAAACGTTGTCCCTGTAAAAATCGTGCTTTGCAACGTTTCTTTTTTTTTCGTTTTATTCCCTGGAGGATGAGTGAACGAGACGCCGAGTGGCGGAAAACCAACAGAATCCAGCAGCCTTGAAGGAAATTTGAACCAACGTAAAAAAGTCCGCGATTTCTATGGCGGATGTTTGTAATCACAAGAGATTTCAATGTTACTTTGATATACTCGGTCGTCTGTACAGTGCATATTGCAACGTTACTTTGATTTACTCGATCGTCTGTACAGTGCATAAGCGCTTAACCGTGAATATGACAGTAATAACTCTCGAGCCCTAAAAGTTAAGGACATAAGAATGAAGGAACACTGCTAGGCAGGTCTAATTCACACCGACTCTTACACACACACACACACACACACACACACACACACACACACACACACACACACACACACAGCCAGGAGCTAAGACTCGACCCCTGCAACCACAAATAGGTGAGTACACACACACACACACACACACACACACACACAATGTTCACGTTTAACTTATTTCGAGTTACCCTAAGCTCTCACCCCCTATAACGTTATACGGAAGTTTGTTCTAGTCATCTACAAATCTACTGTTAAAGCAGTGCTTCCATATATCCAGCTTTAATCCCCTGGTGCGAGTCCTGTCTTGGTTATGACACTTCCACCACGTTATCTATATCCTTTTAATTTATTCCTGCTTTTCTCTTGTATTCCTCAGTCATTTTCCCTCAATTCTACGCCTTTCCAGAGAGTGTAAGTTCAATACCTTCATCCTATGCTAGTAGTTCTGGCAAACTTTAAGCTCTGGAGAGCATGGTGCTCTGAAAACCCTTGAACCCTGGGATCAATGAACCTTTGAGGTTTAGAAAACCGAAGCTTTGAGAACCTTTCATCTTGGGGACCTTTGAGCTGAGAGGTATGTGAACTTTAGATACCTTTGAACACTGAGAACCCTTAAGCTCTGGAGCCATCAGAGCTCTGAGGATCTCTGGGCTCTGAAGACCTCTGGAGCCTTCGGAGCTCTGGGTTCC